TATGTCGTGAATTGACAGAAGTTGGAAATTGTGAACCACCGGAAACCAACCCAGTGGCTGAATGGTTAACGCGTTCGCCGTGAAACCTGAAGGCCTTGAGTTCGATCCCTAGCCGGGTCGTGGGTGCGCACTGCTGAGGAGTCCTATACTAGGACAAAACAGCTGGTTATCCGTTGCTCCCAGATTTCCAATGGTTCCCCAACTGATTTCAGTCCATGATGAATACTACTTCTAAATTAAAAATCCTCATTCATCTCAAAAATACAATGATTTTTCTATTGAAAGCGTAAGACCTGAAAAACATAAGGTCAATATGTAAGGTCATTGTATAAGGGTTATGATAACTGTTAGAGTAATACCATCAACTTCATTACAAAAGTGTAGGCTAAACAATCCAGTTTGGAAATGAAACCATTCAACTTAGTAGTTGGAGTCAGATACTGGTGGGAAAATTTTTAAAAAAGCTATAAAGCTCATGGAGATGCACAACTAACATTTTTACTGTTTTATACCAATTTAAATAGTTTCCATTTACAAAATACCTGAAATACGCATAAAATTCTAGACATAGTCTTCTAGCGTACCACTTAATTTTAATATGAACCGTAATTAACCACCGATTGAATCCATTTCATACTTCAAACAGACTCATACTGCCACAACTTTAATATATACAGCACAACTGAAGAAAAGTAATCGCGGAAAAAAGTCATAAAACAAAAGTCAGCAAAAAATTAAGGGCATAGATTTAAAAATCTGAATTCTGAAACCAGTGTGAGTGATATGTAACTACATGCGTAATTCTTTAAATAAACATTTCTGTCAACCTGAGAAAAATGGCAGCTGGTTGACTTGAACACCCTCCATACCACTAAGACTAATAGTTGATGGTTTAAAACGGGGGTAGAGATTACATTTCATCTTAACAAACTTGATGCAACATGAAGAAATTCGCTATAACTGGTCTAAGGTTTTTTGAACTACTTTCATGTCAATATTTATAAATCATGTTGCCCCCACTATCCTTTAATTAACACAATAATTTTACTTCATGCTAAAGTTTAAATAAAATTGTTTTTTATACTTTTGCTCATCGATAAGTGCTTGTATTGTGTCCTTGCATCTTCAACCAGATTTTATAACGTTATCAATATTCTGCTCCAACTTTTGTTTCTAGCTTTCTCGTTTGTTTTTTCAAGTATATAGTGGTACCATTAAATCTAGTGATGGCTGTCAGTGACCATAAATCAAATGTTATGATAGTTGAAAAAGTATGCTGATCGAGTAAAAAACAAAAAATAGGATTATAAATGAAATATATTTTCAGTCCATTTACCCAACGTCCAACTTATTCAACTCTACTGGGTCAAATTTTGATCCCAAAGTTTACTGAACAGATGAGATATAAGAATTATACAACTGGAAGTTAGTTTTCGTGCAGAATCTAAGACTGAATGGTCAGAAACTCCTATTTATCTACTGGTTCAATAATATTGAACAGTATATGATCTTTAATAACCAGATTTTAGTGAAAATGTTACATATAAATTGGAAAGATCAACTTGAGTGTCAGTTATTGTTTCACGAAGTTCACAGCAGACCCTAGTGTGTCACTACAGCTTGATTATTTGTCGTTATTTATCCCCTGGGTTCCTAGTGGGACAAAAGGCTTCAGGTGCACGCCGCCATTTCACTCTCTTCTTTGCAGTCTTTTCAACCTGGCTCCATTAATGCACAGAAGCTTTCATTTCTTACTCACACGGTCTCATCTATGTCACCCTCAGCTGGGACGCCCAACTCGTCGTTTCCCATGCGGGTTCCACTAAAGAACCCAGACTGGCGCGTGATGTCCCCAAACGATACCCTCAGTTTTTGCCCAATCCAATGCATCTCCACTTTCTTCTGCATATTTGATGGGCGATAGGTTCATGGTTCGTTCGTTCCCAGAGTTCCTCGTTGTTTATTCTTACTATTCTAGCCATCTGATCTGATATTCAGTATCGAGTGAGCGTAGGTGGCAGCTGTTAATGTGATGTATGTCTGAAGTTTACTGGGAATGCTTTTCGTAACGCGCCAAGTCTCTCAACCATCATCACATAGAATCATTGACTTACTTGATTGATAATAATAATGTTGTTCACGATTTATGCTGAGTGCAGTAGATCTGATTAATGAAGGCGTGTCCTGCTGTCTTTCCGATCCTGGCTTTGACGTCGTGAACTGTGCCACGGCCTGTAGTTGAAACGATCCTGCGTGTCTAGGTAGGTAGGTAGGTAGGTAGGTGAAAGATACTACTTCCTTTAGGTTTCTCCTGTTGATGGTGATTGGTGCTTGTTGTTGTTGTTGGTGGTGGCTGGGTATCTTCATCACCTATGTCCTCTCTACCTTCACCTGAACGAAGTCCCGTCTACACTGCCCTGCCTCTTCTGTCAACTTGTTGGTTTTTGCCTGTAGATCTTCGAGTTTGTGCGAGAAGACATTAGACATAAATCATCATCGGCGAAATCCAAATCTTCTAGGGTCTTTCATCGGTTCAGAGTATCGCCATCTTTCCGCTCTTCACAGTTTGTTGCATGATCTAGTCTAGTTCAGTTCAGTCGACCACAATCAGGAGGATCATGGGTGATAGTAGGCGGCAACCTTGTCTTACTCCTGTCTTCACTTCAAAGGCATCACTGAGCTGCTTTTCAATGTGAATCGCTTGGCATGTGGCGTCTTCATATAGCTGTCGAAATTATAGCTTGATAGATGAATGTAGTAGTTGTGGCAGATCTGGCGGTTGATCTTAGATGAATATTAGGAAGTCGTTGTTCAGTACATTACATATCACAATGAAAGTAAGGTACGATATAGACATGGGACAAAGACAAAGACAAAGACAACGAAGAGCCAGACTGCTTTCTGACTACAGTCATGAACTTCTAAATTTTGTATAACTATCAAACATTGGTTGAATGAAAGACAAACTTACAGATAATGCAGTAAGAGAGAAAAATAGGGTTGGCAACAAATTTCAAATAGTACCCAACGTGAATCTGTATGATCCGAAATATATTATTATTCACCATTAGATTATAAGGAGAATGTTTAATTTCAGCAGCAAACCAACCTTAGATTCACGCCCATCATCAATTGGCATAAACAGATCCTGTGTGGAATAAAATACTTGCTCAATTGTTCCAAGAACTTTCAAACCAGGCCCAAGCTCTTTCTCTGGTTCGTCTGTTTCGGCGATGGTTGCAACATGAGCCAAAAAGAAACCTTCAGGACAGGTATTATGTGGATGGGAGACACAAGAAATGTAGATATCTAAAGATGGTTAAAATTAGTGGGATGTGTACACATCTAATAATCTTACCATGTTTACGACCAACTTCACTCTGAGGAATAATGATCTGAGTTGACAAAGAATTGTGCACACCTGAGATCGGATGTACTAAGATGCAGATAGCACGTACAACCTTAAAGGTAATCAATAGAGAATAAGCTTTCTTTATTCATGAATGAACTTTAATTTAATCCGGAGTGTATAACGTAAAATCAAGCTAATAATGACACATGAAGTATTATTTTGGACTAAAGTATGTACTCATCAGATTGAGCAATTTAATTTCTTAGTTACCTGATATAAACTATGTAAAAAAAATAATTCAAAGTGAGAACACTCAGCAAATGAAATGCAACTGGGTAGCAGACCCGTGGGCTTGCTGTAAAACCCATACATTGTTTTAGCTCCACCCACATTGCAGACCAAATTAGGCATAATAGGTTTGAAATTGTTATACAATGTTTTTTTCATTGAGTTTTTCAAGTGCTTCTTTGTTTGCAAACAGAGATTGTAGACCGCATATACGTTTTTGCAATCCCATTTTTTCTGTCTTTTAACTTTGAACAAAAAGTAAAAGGCGTGGAAAAATTGTCACTTTGTTCCCTGATAGCTATTCATAAAGTACAATACTCGATGACAGTCCACCCAACAGCATCATTCTGTTTGGTCTTCAATGATGAACAGTTCCTATTAATTACTTATAGCAATAAGTGGCTCAATAGTGAAGTGGACTGCACTTTTTGAGTCGTAGAAAACGACCAACAGGAAACCATGAATATACAATACATGTACAACTATAGTTGCTTCCTAATAGTGGATTCAATGGAGTGGGATTATACCATAATAACCTGTGTTTACAGTACTGTAGAAATACTACTCTAATGATGTGAACAATGAAGAAATGTGAGCTATAAATCATTGGGTTAGACAACTTAACTACTGAGCATACCTTTTTGCCACACTCAAAGATTATTAGCTTGAAATTACTGATTATTTGTCAATCTACATACTGAAATATACTAAAACATTTTAATTTGTGTTCACACGAATATTTGACTTACCTGACCAACTTTTTTTACCATATTAGGCACATAACTTGGATCACAAATAACCATATCACACTGGGCAATTTCGTTACCCGATTTAACTCCAACAACTTTTCCTTTTTCCATTACTAGTTCATCAATTGGTTTATCCAGCATGTAAGTACCACCATAAACGGCACAAAGACGAGCAAAAGCTTGAGGCAATTCACCCAGTCCGTAAAGGGGATAAAGATAAGGAGATTTGCCGAATCGACAAACTGATTGACTGTAAAGTTGTATACGACTTATCACCTCAGCAGCAGACATGTTTTCCTTGTATGAATCATCTTGGAACAAACAAATAGCATGCCCAATAAAATTCTGAATAAGGGAAAGAATTATTGAACAACAGAATGACAGAAATGACAAATAGATATTAATAACATAGAGATTAGTCAAACTGAAAGACATAGACACTGTAAAAACAAAATCTGGTATAAGTATGTGAAGTGCTATTCTACTACACTATATCAGTTGAGTAAATAAAAAGAATTTGAGTAATAATGATATAAATAAAAATCAATATGCTGCAAAACATGAACCTCCAAAAACGTTAGCATCTGCCAAATTACTACGTACATTTCATCTTTCTGATCGATACCTTGACGTGGTGGTCAAGCTTCTGTATCAATAATGACCCAACGATTAATAGGGATGATTACCTGTTCCTTAAAGTCTTACCATACTAGGAACGCTTTGGCAATAGTTCTAAGGTAAGTTGCGATCATTCTCTAATAGCTTACGATATGGTCGGGGTAAATGAACCCCGCAGATAACTGGCAGTTCATGCTGATACCGCCTTTTCTGTGCGAAAAAGGTTAGGAAAATGTCAGCTCCAAAAGCACATTCCTCCCTGCACTGTATAAGTTTTCTAGCTGGATTCAAAGCAAACTCAAATCGAAATCTTACAAAAAGACTAGATGTGACCGGTTGCAATATCTCTTGGATTGCACGGTTACGCAAAACTAATCTCTCTCCTCCTTTAGGTACTTTGTAGAAACAACTTGCGGGAAAACTGCTCTCTGACGCTTCAAGCAGCATATGAAACCAAACTGACCACAACCTACCTTACTTACCTTTGCTAGCATCAGGCCTCTAATAGTCATTTCAACTTTCCACCCCGAGAAAGCTGTTAATGATCTAAACCAGCAGATTACTATACCTAATCTCCTAAAATCATACTTTCAATTTCCGAACCTAATGCCAAATCAAACAACAGGAGTCTGTCGAAACTGTACCAGATCCACCTGAATAAGAGTACCCGAGAGTTTTCATAAAGTCAGAACAGTTATCAAAAAGATAATTATTTTCGCTGTATTGTTTCGTTAATCAGTGGTTAAATGGGGTTCTATATTTATTAATGAATGTATAAATTTCTATATTCATTCTAGGTGATACAACAGAAAACAACGTATAAGCTACAGTTGGCAAAAGGTGAACATAACAAGTTCAATCTGGCTAAATGCTATTTAACAGCTTTAATCAATAAAATAACAATAGGAAAAACTGTAGCCAGTCAGTGTTAAGTAGAAAACTGTACGCAAAAGCATTAGTTACTTATGAGTAGTAAAGTTCATAACACTAGGAAATGTTACACCCTCAAATTTCGAATGATGGATGTACGCTGTGATCCTGAGCTGTCCACACAGGATACAAGTCACCGGATCAATCCGGTGAATCTTCGAAATTTACCTCCGAGTTGTTAGAAATTCGATGGCTAGCATTGTGCTAATTTCTAAGGTAGACGGTGCTGAATTCCAGTTGACAATCACACGTGTGCTGTTCAACTGAATGGTGCAGTAAAACTGGTAGTGAAAATATCTATTACCTTTTTGTAGTCTCTGTTTATACATTGACAGCAGTTTGCATAAAAGGAAACATGGGTCTTACCAAAAACTGCGTTAGCCTCTTACTGAAAGCCAAATGTGGAGATACGATTATCATAATGGGCGATTTCAATGGACAGTTGGCTAAGCTAAGCCAAGCAGAAAGACGATTAGGTGGTATTTTCGGAATCCTAAACGAATGCACGGATAGTGGTGATCACCAACAACTGCGCTCAATTAGCAACCAATTTTTAGCCAACATGAATCCTAAATATAAATCGAGACATTTTCCACCGAACTCAAATGGATGAATGTCACGAATCGACCATATCGCTATCACTTGTTAGAGAATTCGGTGGGAGATGGTTGCTCTGGTGCACGTGCTTGGGTAGTGATCGCACGTTGGTTTTAGCACACGTACGTCTGTGTCCAAATGAGAGTCGAAAGAAATACGACTGGAAGCATGTTCCTAGCGTAGTTCGGTGATGAGAGTACTGTTTTTAACGAGGAAATCGTAAGACAATTATCAGAACAGGATAACTTCAGTCACTTCGAAAAAGCCTAATCCAATCCTTAGTTTGAGATAAAAACAGCGTTGAAAACCGTAACCAACACTCGGGAAAAAGTCAGAAAGCGTAAAAGAATTTTGCATGTCACATTCAAATCAGTGGATGCACATGAACGCATTCCTATAGGCTACGTCCACAATGAGGAGTGGGAGCGACCTAGGTACAGACTAATAGAGAGTCTAAGCAGTGACTGTAAGTAGTAGCGGGCAACGAGGGATAAAGAGACGAAAAAACAGCAGTGACAGGTAGGAGATAGTCATTTAAACACTAATGAAACTGGGGTGGAAGAAAGTCAATGATCAGTGTAACCAAAGCGGAGTTGGATAGGTTAGTGATTTACTTACAGTGGAGATAACTGTAAAGATGAGCGGAACACTTTGATGAATAGGTCAACTGGCCGTTGTCTAGCCCTAAGTTGCCTATCATTTAGTCAGATCCTGAAGTAACAGAGGCCCTTCAACAGAAGGAAAGTAGGCCTGAATGCATCATTACTGAAGACGGACACTAGCAAATTATATTGCAGAGATTTTCCAAGTTTGAATTCTGTTTCTCCTCCAGGATACTCTTTAATGCTTTTAATCGAGTTTTTCAAGCCATACATGCAGATTACAAGAGTTGGTTTCTTCCTACTGGTTATCTATTTTAGTACGTTATTTATCAGTCTCCTTCATATGGATCACGAAAAGAAATAAACGCGAAAGCTGTAACCCAGTTTGTAACGACTGCCATAGAGTTAGTGAAATATCTCATCTAACGAACGTTTTCTTTGCTAGCCAGATATGGGAAAAGCTGGATAGAGGTGCTCCCTGGTTCATCACCCAGAAATTGGTTCTGATGTTATTAAGACACCCATACCAATTAGTACCAGTAGTATAGAAAAACTCGTGGAGTATTACTAGTTCGATTAATCGAATTCAATTTCAGTCTGTTCATTAGAAGTCATAGAGTAAAACAGTACTGCTTACTGGACAATGTTTTGGGCATAATTTGTTGTTCATACTCACACCACCTGATGTGAATATAAACAATAACTTACGTCCAAAATGTTATCCACTGAATAATACAGCTTCAATGTTTGACAATTCTAATAAAAAGAAAAAAATTGAATTACAATCTACCACTGTGCCCAAGTTTTGCTTCAAGATTGACTGAAGTGTTAGCTAGCGTATGGAAATCAGATATGATCTCACCTGACTGATCTCAGTCGCTGATTGTTCCAGTCTTCACAGAAGGAATCAGTTTGACGAACAGCGCCTAAGATCCTACAATCATCACACCTAGGTGAAACTCAGGAATAGTGAAACCAGGAAAACTGATACGCTTCAGACCAGCTTTTGGGCATATTTTTAACACTCCACTATGTTCGAGGACACAAAAACGCTTACTCGCATCCCACAAAAGCCACATTCATTGAAATAAAAGATGAATTCGACTGTGGCGATAGAAAGGTCGTAAATTAATTCATCTAAATAAAAGCTCTGCATTCCAACACAAGTGGTATGTTACAGCCTATGACGAGGTTACACGCAAGTTGCATACATCAAGTATGCAACTGTGGTTCATTCTTCTTCACAGTCGAGTTTCAACCGGTGGGTCACGGGTTTGAACACCGATCCATCTACCGAAGTAGTATCATAAGCCCTCATAATAGGTGTGGCTCGTTGCCTACTACAGGAATGTGCACAAGGTTACTAAGTAGATTTCAATTTTTCCGTACGTCAAGTGGCGTCTGTCGAAGACGTCCACACTCTATCCTTATTTAACTTCATCATGGACATACTTATTGAGATTTCCATCTCAGTATGGCATTGATTTTGTTACAGGAGAATCCCTAGTAGGTCTACAGTGTGCAGATGATACATCTCTGTAAGGTGAAGACGCTGAAAAGACAGTCCTATGAACATCTTAATGACAACTTGAGAATGTTTGAAATATGTTTCTCACCCACCACCCAAGTGAAAAATGTTGCTCCAGGACTGGTCGTTGTTGGTGCTTTCTCCAACAATAGACAGTGAAGTGGTTAGTAGCATTAACCACTTCGGAAATCGAATCGACAAAGGTGGACCAGTGATCGATGAAATCTCTGCACGGATACAATATGCTCTCTTGGCATTCGCCAACTTACGTTATTTATGACACCGCTGTGATATCCGATTGTCGATTAGGGGTCGAATGTACTGCGCTACAGGTCGCTTTGTTCTATTATATGTGCGTTAAACATGGTCATTAAAACTGAAAGACATAAGAAGGCTTCAGGTGTTCGACCACCACCACCACCACCTTCGAGGCATAGACCCCGGGTTGTGGTGCCATCATATCAGTAACGTAGAAGTCAGGTGTAAAGCTTTGGGAAGAAGGGGGAAGTCAGTCGACGAGGTTGTGAACTTTCATCAACTGAGGTGACCGAGACATCTGCTATACATGCTTGTTAACCAGCCTCTCTGTTGCGTAATGTTAGCTGACGTGAATTTTGGCAAGACGACCAAACGTGGCCAGACTTACAAGTGGCATCAGTCCATGAAGTCTCAGGCTGTTGATCTGAGTAGTGTGGGGGAAATGCAGACTTCCCGGTCTAAGTTCGTGTGACAACCAATATTGGTGATTGGAGACTAGGTGATATGGCTCGAAATCGGTCTCAGTGATACAGATGTGTCTACACATTATCGTCATCCAAATCGTTTAACGGAGTTCAATCACTTTTCCATTGCGTCCTTTTCTCTTTTTTCGACTGTCTAGTACTTTTGGCTACTTTCTTTCTCATTTCGTTGGCTTTCATATTAGAGTCCTTTACCTTGATGCACTGATATGAGATATGACAACTCGAACCTTCATGCAGCAATTCTAGGTCCCATGTTGATGATAACTGACTGAGTGACTTTTCTGTGAACTTCAAACCGCTTAAGTAGATGGGAAAGATTTGATGTAAAAATTTTAAGATGCTGTATAAACAATTTTAAGTGGGAAGGACAGACAGATCAATGCAGAACTACGCATCGAAGTGCTTCGATTAAATTGGGCATAATACACAACAAAAGGCAAAGAATAAGTAGGCAGAGAACGAGTAACAAAAAAGTCTACAAAAGTCATGAGGGATGGGAGTATAAATAGACGGCCAGTGACAAACCGTACACAACTGAGTCATTGTGATCAATTTACAACTATGTGATCTAGGGTCTTCAACCACTGATTCCTCACACCTCAAGGATCACAGCCAGGTAGCCTACACCTTCATACACAACTTAAACCAAGTCAGTATGAAATGTAGAATATTGGCCTAGCGTCCGTTAGACTTCTTCAACACAGCCCTACTCTGACTAACATCACATCCACACAGTCAGTAGTTCGACATGCTAAACACAAGTTCAAGTCACTGGTAAGGGTTTCACAACCAGACTGAATTCCGTTTCCTGCCTAGTACTCTATACCTAACTTAACATTGCTGACATGATATATGTGGTTGAAACACATAACTTCACATCCGTTTTCAACGGTTTTATAGCCACATACCAGAATAAAATGGGATATTGCACAACAAACTCGTCTTTCGATAGGTAAATAGATATCTCTTTGGTACTAGATATGTGAGTTGGCAAATGTCAAGTGGGGCTTTTGTATTTCAGTAGAGATTTCATCGGCAACCTTCTTTGGTCCTTGTAATTCTACAAGTGATCGCCACATTTCACTCCTTATCTGTTAGTGGTTGGTGCATACTAGCTCTGAAAACTCATCTTACATTTGAAAGGCACATAAAGCATGCCATACATCATATTTTTGCCCGAATCGAAGTCTCAATGAATTCAGCAACCACGTGCATCTTCGTGTAGTAGGCAATGGGTCACACCTATTGTGTGAGGGCTAATGGTACTACGTGGATGCCCAAACCTCGGCAAGTGAAGCGGCGTTCAAACCAGTGACCCATCGGTAGAGTCAACTCTCGAAACCAATAAGCCACAGCTCCACGTATTTCCGTCCAGTGCATTCAGAAGACTGTATTTTATCAGAGTCATTGATTAATAAGATTACATCATTCGCGTACTTTGAATGAAACAGATATCCTCCAGGAAATAAGTCAATCCTTACGAAGTTGGTTGGAAACTGAAATTCTGTCCATCCGCACATCTATAATAAAACTAAATAAATGTAAGAGGGATACTCCTTACGGACCCGGTGGAAAGAAGCGAGTTTCAAAGCGTGGTTCAACACCACAACTTAAAATACACTACGGAACCAAGAGATTTCTGATACAGTTCTCACCTTTTATTACACATTATCAAAACACCACGCAAGATAGACAAGATCAACGTAGAACCTCACAGAAGTCCACCAGTTCAGGTTGCCACATTTCACAGTAGTATACAAAGAACAAGTGGATAAGAAAAACTGATATCAAAATAGAATAAGGTATGTGGGAAGATAGAAAATTTAAAAACAGGTTAATTAAAACATTCAATCTCTCGAAAAAATTAAAGAGTGCATACACCAGCACCACTGTGATGGATTCGCAGACATTTTATCGAGAGTCCCTAACTGCTGAATCCCATTATTTTGAGGACCCCACCCAAGTAATTTACACCTTCCTTCACGACTCAGACCAACAATCAGAGACTTCATGAACTGGTCTGGCCACCGTTAACCTTCTTTCAACCAAATCCAATTTCCTTCAGCATTGCACGTCAAGATAGGCGGTGGCTCCGCATGCGCAGCACAACTATCATCCATACATCCAAATTGACTTGGTATCAAGCATTACTGCGTAACGGTCCGAGTTGCCACACTTCATCAGCACATCATGTAAAAAGGCAGCTAAGTGGAAGGTGAGGAAAAGAAAATTTAGTCAGGAGAAATATAAAGTACTCGAAGGGAGAGAGGAAAAATGAGAAAGTGGTGAGATTCGGTACAGCGTCAAGATGAGGATAATATGTAAACACCTGCACGACCAGTGACATCGGTTCTCAGCCATATCGCCTAGAGTTTCCGACCACCGGTTTTTGTCCAGCAGACCCAAACTGGCTAGTCTGCATAGCTCAAACCAACAGTCAAAGACTTCATGCATTGATGTCATTTTTTAGCCGGGCCACCTCAAGCCTTTTTCCAGCCTGAAGCTACTTCGGCCAACATTGTGTGACGAGGCAGACGGCGACTAGGCATACGCCGTTTGCCTCGTTCGCTACCCGGTTGACTGGCTTGCCTTCCTTATCTAGTACCCTCTGCCTAACCTTGACATTGATAACATGATGGGACTAGGATGCCATGGGTGAAAACCAACATTTAATTACCCTCCAACGGTTCGATTTTCGGGTTACGTGGCAAAGTTTTGATGGGGTGGTCAGAACAGTGAAATTTTCGACAATCAGAAGTGTTTAAGCCACCAACATTATCTGTGAATGCGATGCTTTAGTTGTATTGTATAAGTAACATCTTAAAGTCTGGCTTTGACAAAAAACTGAGAAGTCTTGTACCAAGAAGTTCCAGTTTTTTGGGAATTCACACCTGAAAAGTAGTCGAAAAGTTTAAAAACGAGAGGAGTAGGTTTACCATACACAATTAGATGCTCTTCATTCAAGCATACGTAGCCATTTTGAAACTTTCATTCTGAATCTCCGTAAAACAGCGACTTATGAGTACGGCCATATGCCATTTGTCCTTCCATAACAACTTCTGAAGATATTATGGTGCAAGGTATTATGTTTCGAACCATATCAATAGTAATCGCACACTTACGTTTTGGTTCAGGTATGGATAAAAAAACAGCCCGACACAGCGACAAAATTAGCGTATATTCTAGAAAGCACATTTACCTGTGTTTCCTCATCAATATTGAAATGACTGAATGCGTGCGAAATATTGTTTTCGTTAATGTTCATTGGTGAAGAATAAATGTTATTCCAGGTAGAAGGTTTGGTCACATCTACATTCATTACCCAAACCAAGAATTTTCTAAATCGGCGCTTTTTAAACAGATCCATAAGTTCTATGCATCGTTAATAACTATGACAGCACCATACTTGTGGTGAGAGCTTCACTTTCGTTACATGGGACTTTATGAATACACCCCGCTTGATAAACATAACTGCCTTCCACACTTCTAAATTCCAAATATCGTGTCACACCAGTGTGAACAAGGATTTTTACCAGTTTCCCTACATTAAATTATTTGCGTAGTAAGTATCTCATTACCATTAGCCATCAAAAACTTGGAAATCAAATCAACATTCCAGTCTTTACCACGCTGAAATTTACTGGTGTCACCTTTGATTTTGAACTTTTCAAATAACAAATCAATAGGTGTTATAGATGTGGTATCACCGCCATAATAACTGTTCCTGTCGACATGGAGTACTTTCTTCCCTTCCATTGACATCAAACTGCTGAGTATGCATTCCTGAAAATAGTTTGTAATCAATAACGACACAGCAGTACTTTTAAACCCGTCCCAAGAACTATAACATCATACTTCTCATCCATAACAGCTGATGATTACTTCGCGGACCTTGGGATTGAGCGGTTTATTCTCCGTAATTCAATCTTCCAATAGACGAAATCCGTCATCAGAATCAGAGTCAGATTTGTTGTTTTAGAACTAAAGGCTGTGAGCCTATATTAATCCTCATCCAGCAAATCTCATCTTTTGTCCGTTCTTGTTCTCAACTAGTCAGAGAATGAGACTTTCACAGCTTCAAGATGTTACGCAACTTACGTAATATAAGAGTTCGTAATGACAAATATACACATTAGAGAAACGTGGCTAAACAGGCCAAACAGTTAAGCTACAACCCGAAAAGTTTGTATCGAATAAGAGTTTATATCTGATCGCGGGGTCGGCCAGCGAACCTTTGAACAGCAGTGAGATAGAGGAACTGTTGAGCAGTCCAAGTGCTCAAGTGCTAACCATAGCTGTGTTCAGCCTGTCCACCCACTCACTGGAAGTAAGTCAACCCCACAAAAGACGAAAACGCTTCATCCTTTCACCAATCTTCAATACAGGGGGCCGAGAAAACCCGTGCAACTAAAGACCAATAGCATTACTAACCATACTTTCCAAAGCATTCGAAAGCCTGGTTGCAAATGTTGTTCAGGACCACCTGAACAGAAGTAACATCGTCCATCCAACCCAGCATGGCTTAGAACCGGGTGGTCATGTGTCACAAACTTAGTGACCGCTTGGATGACTGGACCACTAGATGGGACAACAAACAACCAGTTCACGTTACCTTATTCAACTTGGCCAAAGCTTTTGATAACGTCCCACACTGCACCGTGCTCACCAAACTTGTAAAAGTGGGTATCACTGAACCACTCATATCAAGGTTTACAGCAGAGAATCTCAACTAAAGTAAACAGAATTCGATCAACCTGTAGAAACGCAAGAACATTAGTTTATCAAGAAACAATTATAATATAATAATAATAATAATAATACGCGAATATTTCATACGACATAGGTTACATGAACTCCAACTAGCTTACAGGTTTGACCATTTTGGTGATGCAAAATGACTATTGTATACAATGTTAGGCTACACATTAGATGCCGTTATTCATGGCATATAAGAGGTGTGTTGAAGCGGTCTCGGTTCAAAATTAGGAATTATTCGGTTATTGTTTAGATCTTCCAATATTCTTGAAGGTTGGGCCGCATCACAGTCATGACCTAGAGGTGTGCGCGTTCGTCATAAGGTTTTGATGGCAAGGTGCACACCGACAAATGCGATTTCTAGGATTCCATTTGAATGCAGGACTGGTTAGGTAAACCCGAAAAGCGAATAACAAGAGCTAGCAGCAGGTGAAATTCGAAACAGGAGCATAAAAATACGCAGGAGTAGATCAACCATGATGCACCTGGGTGAGTTCTTTGTAGTGACTACAAACTTACTTGAAGAGGTATCCAAAACCAACTGTTTAGAGGTAAGCTTAGTTGGAAGATGAAGGTGCGCACGATGGTAGTGAAAGTTAGTCTGAAGCCGAAGACATTACTACAAAATAGAGAGATTATAGGATTTTGGACCAGGTGTTCACTTGTCATATACCTACGCACAAACGTTTGATGAAGTTAAAAACACTAAGCGAAATTCATGGTTTCCTCTACGATGGTGACCACCCTTTATCTAGTCATGGGGGGATGATCATGGTGTTACTTGTTGAGTATTACCATATCGGGGCTACCGAAACAACATGGTGGTGCAAAGTACTAACGCGTAGGTACTGCTAACAAAGGACAAACAATGAAACATGTTACATGCTATGGAAATAAACCGACAGACAGTTCTTTTATCAATCAGGAGTACAGAGATTATTTTAAGGGACGAATTTTAGGAACTAGGTGTCAGCTCGCGAGGTGCATAAATGGCCTCACCACTAAAATCTCCACGTCTATCCTCCTATTCGCCAACGACATCAAAATATGGAAGATGATAGGTGACGAGGAGGATCCAAGGATACTCCAAAATGACCTCTACCAGCTGCAGTTCTGGTCAGCCTCAAACCGTTCAAGCTTTAACCTGGAGAAATACAAGGTGATTTATCTCCGCACACCAGAGGCGAGGAAAATCAGCTACACTCTTAGCAAGTGTGCAATCACCAAGATGTCCACAGAAAACGACCTAGGACTAAACTTTTCTCACACACTGGACACTACTGGCATTTATAAGGGAATGGCAGCAAAGGCGAACGCCATCATTCACTTCCTAAGAAGGCAGCTCGGATCTTTAACCCCAGAACGATTCCTTATGGTATTTAAAACCTGTTAGAGTTGTCCAACATGATAGTCCCCCTCTCCTCACTACTAAAGGGAGACTCAAATACTCCCGAGAAGTTACAGGGAACAGCGACAAGGTTGGTAGTCGGACCAACAGGAGAACATATACGCAACACCTCAGACAACTCAACTTGTTCACACTAAGCTATCGAATGAAACGAGGCAACCTGATAACAGCCCACAATATCGTTCACCAATCGGACCACCCAAATAGAACAACGTTATCGGTCAAAAGCCGACAGTCTCGTGGGAACCCCACTCACACACCCCACCACACGGCGAAGACGAGAGGCAGATTTAACTTTTCACACACAGCATGTGCTTTGTGGAACGTGCTGTCGAAGGAAGTGGCAACAGCTACATCAGTCGACTCCTTCAAACGACTACTGAATGAGTACGTGAGCGTAAATGGCTTATCAAGAACATTCGTCAGTAGTAACTGATGATACACCCTTCCATCCTTGTATTCCCCAACCCTAGTATCTGCAGTAACATGCATCTCTCCTCCATATTATCACCAGTAACAATCATCTTTTCATTAGTACTTTTCACTCCTCTTTTTCTCATTCCGCGCTCACCCTGTTTCTAGCACTTCTTGAGTAGCGCTTAATGCCTACTTGCAGGTGCTTACAAAAACAGGAGTTGCAAACGGTTGATCGATCTTATCTGCAGCTCCGTTGTCCCCCCCCCTCCAAAACGAACCAGGCTACAATTTGTAACTAAATTACCTTCAAATAGACAATCATTACCTCGAAAACTACAAGCAGGAAGACGCAAAGACCTCTGTGATCATCGAAGGGGTCCAACCAGATAAAAAGAACGAGCCTCAAGACCTGGAAGAGAGAGCTCAAAAACTACAAGTTTCCTCTGCTCGCACCATTGATGTGGGACGCTGAACTGATGATGCGCACACTACTTCTTCGTGTGAGTCGGTTCTGGAACTTGACTGCTCATCGCTTAGACTAGTACTGCAGATACCACGCTGGTCCTTGGCTGTTTTATTCTTCCGCCGTGTCCTCTAAGTTGTCCCAACCGGTTGGGAGGAAAAGTGAAGATGTATCTGATACGAAGTATGTTTTTGGAATCCTGCATTACACGATCGGATCCCAACCATCTGCGACAGGATAAGGATAAGTTCAACTCTTCAGGTCGACCCTGGTAAGCCAGACGGGCCATTGCAGGAATCACACGACTCACAGTCCTCTGAACTCTTTGGAAAGGTATGAGTCACCTTTAAGACAAGGATTTTCAGCTGGGTCAGTTTTCCGGTTTAAGCCTAACTAAAGATATGTGCAAGATGGTGAACACGTCACCACCATTTTCTTAAACGTTCTGTGCAGTGCCCGAATCGCCCTTAAGCTCCAAACTACTGCTGATTGACAGGTCTTCAAGTCACAACTCTCTATTACCCTGGGTCCTTGTCAGTCAATAGTGACGGAAGAGTTCCGCTAGTATCGTAGGTGCTGTCATCTGTAGGACCCACGCACATCCTAACGCATTTATCTGAGTTCATAGGCATCAGGCATTTTTCTGACCAGGTGAACAAGCTGTTTATGAATGTCTGAGTTTCACCCACATCCTCGTCATGCCTGATTTTCAATAAGACATCTGCATCACCAACGTAGACAACCACAGATTTCCAATATCCAACATGGCTGGCATAGAAAACTGATGGGCCTGATCTCTCGCGTCCGGTTCCTAGGGTTTGGTTCGGGTTGTTTGGCTCACTCCTGTGGTGGACAGGGGAATCTCCTCCACTTTCTTGCTTTCAGTTTCGGTGAAGTAGATGTTTTGTGGGTTAGTAAGTTGCAATCTGCAGAGTGGTTGGAGAGCTACGGGTTACTGAAAAGGGTAGGGTATTGTCATGACTCTTGCCTTCGTGGTTGCCCGGATGAGAATAGTCAGGTAGCGGTAAAGAAAAAAGAGGGTATTTGGGGGTTGCCGGAAAGATAAAAACAGCGAAGGTCCCTTTCCAGAGAAGAATTAGTAGGTAGTGTGGGTGTTTCAAGGGAAAAAATAGTAAGTGGTGGGTGGAAGGGTTTGAGGTACCTAATCGACGGCCTTGCTAATGTCTATGAAAATGGCATCCGTAGGTATCCGATCATCCTCGGACTCAAACCAACTTTCTCTGACTGTACGAAGGTGCACCAAGCAGAGGACATTTATACGACAACCACTCCTGGAATGAGTCAACAGAGTGTTTCTTTCTAAGTGAACTATAATGGCTTTCTTGAGTACTCTTTCTAGGATTTTCAATACAGTACTGGTCTAACTTGTTGGTCTGTAATTTTCTATTTGCTGACTGGAACCTGCCTTTAGACAGGCGTGATTGTGGAATCCTTCCAATCGTGGGGAAGTGTGCCTCTACCGTAGGACAGCCTAAATGTATCAGCCAATAGGCCGGCTACATATATTGCAAGATCTGCGAGCAGCCTTGGGTGCAGCTAATCCGGCCCTGTTTAATTTTCTGCATCAAGAGTACTTAATGTCCGAAATACTTCATTACGACGAATACCAGCAGAATTCCTCAGCGAAATATTGAGTCATGGCTTCTGCCTTCTCCTTAATGTCTCCATTTAAATAATTGGTTTCATACCTTTGATTAATGATAATAATGATGTCTTTCGAGTGATGAATTATACATATACATACCATTTTTACAGTCAGCATCTGAATGTTATTTTTCTCAGCGAAGCTCAAAGCATTTGGG